AGTGCCAGAAAAGTAGAAAAATTATGCAGTAGAAAAAAAGTAGTGGGGAAATGAAAAGCAAAAAAAATTTTAATAATACATCAAAGTGGACACTAAAGAGGGTGGAAGGAAACCTTAAAAGTAATTCCAGTGCCAATTTGTAAATTTAGCAAGAAGATAGGAGTGTTTTAGATGCCCCTGTCAACAACAGGTAACATAATATATAGAGAGATTCCCCCCCCCAAAAGATATGGGAATCATATTCCCTTAACTGAAGATTTCTACCCACTGAATTTAAGTCCCTGGGTCATGAATGCCAGATCAATGACATGGATCAACTGGCATGTGAAGAAACAAAAACGAAGATTTCCTTGTGTTCTTTCCATTTTCCTTGACTACTCCTGAGAAAGCAGATCATACCACAGGCAAATTTGGATTAATCCAATGGTGAAGATGCTGAAGGAATGATACCAGGTCCAAGGGAAGATGACTGAAGTTATAGTGGATGAAAAATAAATCCAGATTACCCATGCATCTAAATGACAACTCTTTTGCTAGGATCAAGTAGAATAAGAAAATTAGAAAGGAGAGATTTCTGGGCTTTAATTTTTCCAAGAAAGGAGAGATTTCTATTTGAGTCTTTAAGTTTTCAGTAAACTCAGTTTCAACAAAAGAAGAAGAAATTAATTTGTGAAACTTCTATTGCTCTGTAGGAGCCCAGTACTGGTAATTAAAGGCACTTCACATTTTGACATTCAGGCATGTATTTCGCTGTGCTAACATGTTGCACATAACGTATAACTCTTTCTGGTGACCCAGGTTGGACAACACAGCTAGAATTCAAGATGGGAAGTTAAATAGGGGGTGAATTCTGGGCCTGTATAGTGTGCCCTTGCATATCTCTAACTAATGTCCTCTCCTAATCAATTTCAGAGGTTTCTTGGGCCACTATCAGACAATAGCTGAACTGCTGAAATTCTCTAGTAGAATTATAGGATCGAAATAAAGATTGAGAAAGGACCCTGTCAAGGTGGTCACAGCCCTCTTGTTTATTCTGATAATCTCATTCCCCAAGGAGGATAAACTTACCCTCAGCTGGCAAACACAATGGATTGACAGAAAGAACTAAAACTGGACGAATACAGGAGAACAAAAAGTTCCACCTAACCCCTTCTACTTTCTCCCCTTAATTCCTCCCTAAAACTTCATGGACAAACTAATTAGGTCAAATCCTAAGTGGCATTAATTGGCTACTTTTACTAGCAGGTGAAAAAAGGTCCTGCATTTGAGTGTGGCATCCTCTCCTTTCTCTTCCACATTTGGGGCCCTATCAGTAAGATAAAACATAATTTTGCATTTTCTCTCCTCTTCTCACGTGGGCATTCACATTACTTTGGGAAAGGCGGCCAGCTAGGAGTAAAATTTTGGATTTAAAGGAAGAGGTCCCACTTGAGCCAAAGCACTATGCTTCAGTCCAGTACTATATAGCACTATGCACTGGGATTATAAGCACAGCCTTGATAATACTGAAGCATTACCTTGTTTTCCGTTGGTCAATGTCCCTCACTTGTATAATATATATAGTCCTCTGGAACTTTACTGGGGGAGAGTGAGAATGGTTTAGGCAGGATTTAGACATGCTTAGGTGCCTGCTACAATACCATCAAAGCTTTAGTTCAATCCCCAACAACTACCTTCTAGGAGCTTATGAACTAATTGGGGAGAAAAAAGAAATACTAAGATCTAAAGTAGTATAAGATAAGGATCAAAGGAATGTCTCAGGAATTCAGAGAAAGAAAAAGATACTTCTGATTAGCTGGCATGCTGAGGAAACTGGATTCTGAGATGAGATTTAAGCATATAAAGGTAGGATTTTAAAGATAGAGAAGGGAGCATGTTAGGAAAGATCAAAGGTGGAGGGGTGGGCACTGAAGAGCTCTCAGAAAGGGAAAGAGAAAAAATTAAAAGGCAAAAAATTCTAGAAGATGGAAGTTAACTATTTTGGCTAGAGTAGGGAGTTTACATAGGGGTATTGAAGAAAGATGGAACCAAAAATAGTCTGTTGAGTTCACAGTGTGAAATATCTTGAATGCCAATAGGTTTCTGCATTTTACCCAATAAATATCAAAAAGTCATCAAATAATTTTTATGAAACCGGTGGCCAGATGGCCATTAATAATTAGGTAGCCAGTAATTAAAGTTTCTCTAGGCAGTTATTAACTATAACATTTAGCTATTTGCTCACTCATCGTTAGCCAAACTGCTTACTCTTACAATGTCACGTAGCCTAATCATAGTTCCCACAACGTTCTTAGAAACAACATCTCACTCTGACCTATGGATCACAAGATGTTAGCTAAGTTGTTTTCAGGAACTCAAGACCCAGTCCTAAAGTCAGGTCAAACTAATCGAGACCACCCACCCTTCAACTGAGTGTACATGAGTGTCTGATGGATGACCTTTTTGACATCACAGCCTGAATTTCCATGGCATGTTTTATACCAAATTCCCCTGAATTTACATATTTGGCCCATAAAGAGACAACTATGCACGCCGAGGAATTTTCCAAACTTCCCCTTTCCCTTCACCAATTACTTGCTGATTCTGAAACCCTCCTTCTAAAATCTCTCCCTTAAGGCTGGTACAGGGAGGTGAATTTGAGACTTACTCTCCTGTCTCCTCCCTTGACTGCCTCATGAATAAATCCTTTCTCTACTGCAACCCTCAATGTCTGTGATTGATGGCATCTGGCGAACCACTCGATTAGGTGTATGTTATTGTCAAGGTCCTAACTTTATTTTGGGTGGTAGGCTTGTTATATCACTCAAAATAATTTTTAACAATTTTTTTAGAAGTCATCTGATGGTTTTAAGCCATGTTTCCATATGAGGAAATACTTGTCTCTGGTTATACACCAAAGACTCAGAAAATCCAAAAATCAAAACAAATTAAAATTATAGAAACACCTATATTTTACCAGTATTCAATAATTATTTCCAAATTAAGGTACTACCTCCAAATTTCTTGACTGCTTTATCAACTGCATCACTGATTTGCTGTTCATCTCTCACATCGACAATACATGGCAAGGCCTTTCCTCCAACTGCTTCAACTACAAAAGATAAAAGAGCATTAAAGCATTCAAATATAATACCTTTCATTCTGATGTAACAGTCAAAAGAAGAAAAGTACCCTATTTCCAGAAAATCAATATAAATAACTCTGTCTTACTATTAGTGACTCTACCATACAATAGGATAGACTAGCTAGGGCGACTCCATTAAAAAACAA